CTTTTTTTCTTTTTTCAGCAGCTAACTCCGGGTACAATGCATATATCATGTGGTATTTCATGCTTCCGGTAGCTAATGCATCTATCTAGGTTGCAACACATAAAAGGAGGAACAAATACATGATTCATTGAGATCAAGTATTAATTAATTCTCAAGATCGAGTCAAGGTTTTTTGTTGTTTTGCATCGCATGTCAATCATTGGATACAGGATGCCTGGGTACCCGGTTTTCTTGGATTGCTCAAAATATTTAAAAGAAAACAGTTGTTTGCTTCAGTGAATTTCTGTTTTTAGTGGCATTCGTCTCCCTACATCGCCTAAGGAAATGAAGATTGAATATATTCACTGTGTTGAATGAAAATTGGAGGCAGCACTAGCTTGTAAGATTTGAGGATCACTGCACTTTCTTGTTGTCGCTGTGATTGACAGCATGATTGGACGGGACCTGTAAAATGTGTGTTGGGTAGATCTGAATGGTTCACTGCATTCGCCACAGGAAATGGGCACCTCGTGTTAGGTCTTGGCAGGTGAAACGCTCTGCGAATGAAGTCGGTACATGGGTTGACTCAAGGACTGCGACATTCATGTGAGCATGTTGTACACGTACAGAAGCCATTTGTCAAGAAACAGCAAGAAACCTCATACATTTGTACCCAGGTGGCTGCAGCCCACCCATGATGTGTGCAGTGAAGATGCCACAACATGTTCAGCAAGGATAGACTGTCGTACACAAAGGGATGGACTCGTTCTAACTGCATGGGTGTGACTGAATGGACACATTACAGCGGGTTGGATTTGATGATAACTTTTTATTTTTACATCCCCCCATATAAAACCTGCTAAGATAAGACATTTATTATACAAGAAATGCTGGATGATAAAGAAGATATCCTAAAACTCAGACGACATTTCAAGAACTGACCCACCGGGAATGTATTTTGCCTAAATGGAGAAAACCCAAAAGATGAACTGATGCCATTCCTCCACATGTGAACTTTCTGAAGAGCGACCATGACTTGTCGTAGGACGTATCGGGAATTGAATTCATACTGAAGTACTTCATGTGTCAAGAAATGAGAAGCACGGAAATATTCCCATGTCCAAGGAGATTGTGTGTTTTGTGTCTTCCTGTGGTGTCTACGCCCTCGATGACCATTAACACTAAATGTGCTTTCTATTCTACTTTATAGGTCAAGTAACATGCGACATGTCAAATGTTAAAAGTTGTGTTTTTGCCATGTTTATCCTTGTTAAATCCCTCAGATGTAACTGATACAGATGATGGTTTTCGTGAAAATTCTAAGCCTCCACCCTGTGAGGACAGCCTCGCTCACTCTGAGGCTGAACCCGAGACAGACGCTGTGGCGGCTGAGGCTGATTCAGAGCCTGAGCCAGAGGTGGACGCTGAGCCCGAGGCCGATCCCGATGCTGAACCAGACGCGGATGAGGATCCAGAGGTCGAGCCTGAAGTGGCTGAGATGGATGCTGAAGCCATGAATTCCTCTAAAGAAGCCGAGGAGGATCACCTATCCGTCTCAATCCCAAACGAAGATGCCATCACTCTGGATGTTGATGGTGACGACCTCCTGGAAACAGGTAAACATGTGAAACTTCCAGATCCAGAGGCAGAGAAGGGCAATGATGAGCCAGAGGCCTCTGCTGAGACGAGCCCAGACGATGACATGAAAGCGAAAGAGTCGGAGGGCCACAAAGATGGTAAGAAGGACGATGGATCCCGTGGCGAGCCCATGAAGAAAGACGGCCGAGACGCCACGAAGAAAGCTGAAACGGGTGATAAAGAGAAGGATTCTGGGAAGAAAGGCCCCTGCACTACTGGGGCATCAGGTCAAGCAAAGAGGTTTGTCTTTCTATGTCAGTTCTTTGATACTACTACCAAGTCCAGCTCACTAAGAACGCAACATTGTGGGTAGCCTCAAGAAATATTTTTTTATTTTTTAAATTTTTTTTTGCCATGAGGGAAATGTTCACTGATGTACCTAATCCTGCCATTTACGGCATTGATTTATTTCTCTGAAGTCGGTTAAAATGTGACGTTAACCACAAGCTGAGAGAACGACTCTTATTTTGTTACTTTGGCCTTTCCAGCAATTTTTAAGCCTTTTCCAGTTTCTACACAAGGCAGTGTAAAAGAGCATTAGTCTCTGTGATGACGTTTTTTTCCCCTTTGTGGCCAAATGATTCGCTGAAGTTGAACAAACCTCCGAAGATTTCATTTGTCCAGAGAATAAATTGGCTGACAACTTGACCCCATCTCACCACTGGAAAAATCAATGAAGCCTTTGAGACATTGGTTCAGATCCACGTCTTGCCTAAAGGATTTTTTTTCCCCCCTCAACAGAACCACGAGTTATTTTATTCCACTAGCCGTGTGCCTGTCATCTTACGTTATGGTGTTATTTACCGTCATTCATTTCCTGTTTGTTGTTTCAACCTTTTGCTTTTTAGCTCTTCAAGAGACAGAGATGGAAAAGCTGCAAAAGATGAAAAGGGTAAGGATGTTTTTAGAGAGGAAAAAAAAAAATTCAGTGTGGTGTTTTGGTTTTTCTAATACTGCTGCTGTTTGGAAAACATGTTTATTAGGAGCTGTAAGCGGCAACAACACTGCCAGCTCGTCTCGTAACATTTGGGTGAGCGGCCTTTCTTCAAACACCAAAGCAGCGGATCTGAAAAACCTTTTTGGCAAATATGGCAAGGTAGATGACGTCTTTTTTGTGTATGTGGTTAATTAGTTGTCGTTACTTATTTTGAGCATAGAAAATATTTTTGGAATTTTCTGATTGACATCATAGAGAAAACAAAACTTTCCAACAGGTTTTAAGTGCCAAGGTGGTTACGAACGCTCGCAGTCCTGGTTCGAAATGTTACGGCTTGGTGACGATGTCGTCCAGCACAGAGGTGGCGCGCTGCATCTCCCACCTGGACTGCACAGAGCTTCATGGACAGCAGATATATGTTGAAAGGGTTGGTTGAATGCATTATGTCTCATTTCTTCATAGAATAAAACTTTGGTCCTGTATCACTCTTTTTGTTTTTTATTAATCTTGTTTTTTGGGTTTTTGTTTTTTATTTTTTCTTTAGGCCAAAAATGATCCATTCAAAAAGGAGCCCTCAAAGAAAGAAGCAGAGGAGAAGGCAAATGAAAAGCGTAATTCCACCGGGATAAAGGCGACTAACAAGTAAGTGACAGGAGGAAGCGGAAAAAAGTGCTAATGGTAATTGTATGAAAGCCTATTTAACTTTCTGTCCTTTTCTCATTTAGGCCACAGGCGTCCTACAAAAAAGAAGACAAGAAAGTTGATAAACTCTCTGAAAAGGACAAAGACGTATCCAAGAAGCAAGATGCCAGAAGCGGAAAATCCAGCTCCGTTTCATCTGGTTCAGGACATGAAGGTGCAAAGAAGGATGACAGAAAGCATGGCCGTAGGTTTTGGCCCTCTTCTCATCTCTGATTTGGAGAGTGTAACGTAGCTGCTTTGGGGTCATAATTTGCTTTTTGTTTTTTTTAACAGGGGCAAAGAGCCCAAGCAAGATGATGGTGTTAGATCACAACAAAGAGTGTCATTTTGGCAAAATGAGACCTTTCAGAAGGGGAAAGTATTTTGACAAAGTAAGAATTATTTCTGCTTAATTGTAACCACATTTTAAATGTGTATTTGTCTTCAGATGAATAAAAATGTGCTCTGTTTGATACTTTTTCAGCCTTTTGTTAACATGAACTTTCAAAGACGGCCAAGAAGTTTGATTCCTCCCGAGGAGGTATGAAGTTCTCTCTATACTTTTTGTTTGTGATTAATGTGCTTTAGTTCTTATTCTTTTCAAGCTTAAATTTCTGTTTCCCTACTAGCTGGAGATGATGAAAGATAAAATGCGACCTTTTATGAAAAAGGGGGAGGAGCGGGACATCTTACCTTTTGAGAAAATTAAGGAGCAGAAGGAGCAGAGGATGCGTGAAAGGATGGCTCGTATGGAGCGTGTCCGCAGAGCCGTGGAGTTGCGCAAGTACGCACACAAGTTATTACATTTGGTAGATTTATAAAATGCTGAGGCTGCTGTATGTTTGAGTTTCAAGGCGAGGGATGTCTTGTTTGTCTTCAGGCGCCGTGAAATTGCAGAACATGAACGTCGGGAGCGTGAGCGTATCCGCCTGTTGCGGGAGCGTGAAGAGCGGGAGAACCTTCTCCGGGAGCGCCAGAGACTGGAGATGGAGAGGCAAAAACTGGAACGGGAGCGCTTGGAAAGGGAGAGGCTTGAGAGGGAGAGAATTCGTATAGAGCAGGTACAGCGTGAAAAATGTACCAGACTAACTTTTTACGTTATAGCTGTCATTTAGCGCGGCTAGAAATGGTGGTCACAGATGTAGCCGTCTACTAACCCTTGCATGCACTGACTGATATTAGCAGCTGGCAGTCGAAAGCTGCTGTCAACATTTTGGTAATATGAAGCTTGTAATAGATGAGATGTGGTGGCAAATGCATCGGAAACTCCAACAGCTGTGAGAAAGTTTGCTGCTGCTTCAACAAAAAACTGCCCAGCAGCAGCATGTGAGACTCCACGTTAGCTTCTTTTTCATTAGCATTTAAGGGATAAAGGGGGCTAACCTGTTGAGGCAAGAGTGAGCTGAGGAAGATGGGAGCGGCTTTATCACATCTTTAAATGTAAATCAAATTTAACGTAATGTTGTAACCGCAGCCATATTTTTAATTGTTTTTTTTTTGTATTTATTTTTTTCAGGAAAGGAGGAAGGAAGCGGAGCGCATGGCTCGTGAGCGCGAGGAACTGCGGAGGCAGCAGGAGCAGCTTCGCTTTGAGCAAGAAAAGAGAAACAACCTGAAGAGAGGCCGTGAAGTGGAACACGGGTACATATAGTTTTGTCTCAGCTGTTTTAATGTGAAGATGAGTGTGGATAATCATTTTACTCGTGTCTTTACCCATGAGTTACATTTATTTTAAAATGGAAACTGAGCAGCTGAGGAAGAGCTTAACAGCTTTTTCTTCTGTTTTCTCAAAAGTAAAATTTTGTTCAGTTTGAATTTGGTACAGAAAATATCATCATTGGGTCTGTGTGTGCGCAGCACAACCATAATCTGAGAGTTTTTGGTTTTCATTATGAGAGGGAGCGCTGTTATCGAGTGTCATTTACATAATATGTAAAGTCTGTGACGTAATATTGTGTTTATAGTGTACAGAGTGACAGGTGGCGTCCCGCACTCATGACTCAGTGTCTGTATTCGATGTTTCAGTCGACGAGACGACTCCTATTGGAACGGCAACAAGAAGATACAGCCCGAGTCTGACGCCCGTTTGAATCAAGGCTCAAACTACAACAGGCAGCAGAACCGCTTTACAAACTTCACTCCCCGAGAGAGAGGCCGCTTCCCCGAGACCGCCAGTCAACCACCCAACACTTATGACAGGTACACGTTTAAACTACATTAGTTTACTAATCACGACGTTGATGCCATTCGTTGGAATCATTTATGGACTCCAAAGAAAGCTTTTATTGCACTTTCGGTGAATTACATTTTGGTCCTCTTTGTGTTCCAAGACGAAACCGGTTTGACGGCGAGCCTGAGGTGAAGAAGAGTCGGCCTGCTCCTCACAGAGAAGGCTCCGGCTTTGATCGCTACCACAAAAACTTTGAAACGGTCCGCAGAGCTGAGCCGCCACCACCTCCACGCGCTGAACTTCGGGACACCGACCGCCGGGACAGAGACGACAGACGCCCCGCTCCCATGCACGATCGCCCTATGGGAGCAAGAGGTGCAATGCCGGGCATGTCGCACAATCGCGCACCGAGGGATGGAGGGCATGGATGGAAGAATGACGGCGGGATAAACTCCAATAAGGGAGATATGCGGTAAAGGAAAACTCCTGTTTGAAGATTAAGCATTATTAGTTGCTTGATGGTTTTGGAAAGCTAATCTATCTTTGAAATCTCTTGCTGGGCTGAGCAGCGGACCTATGCGCATGCGTGCAGAGCGATCGGGCAGGGATGGGCCAGGTGTCGGTCCAGGTCCTGCTCTCAGAGGAGGCCACTCCATCAACCGTGAAAGGAGCTTTAATGATCGAGATGAAAGAAGACCCATGGTGATGAGTGATCAGGTGAGCTTACCTTCTGAAAAAGAGTGATGTCTTTCCTTGATCCTCCTGTACGATGGAAAACCTTTACATTTTGAGTTGGCTTTCGTCTGTGTGAGAGACCCAAACACATCCTGTTTTTCCTCACTTTTTGTGGAACGCAGCATTAAGGTTGTTTATTTAACTTGTTAAGTTATGAAATTTATTATGCAAAATTTAATGACATTTGCTTTAAATCTTCAGTGGCTAGAATGAAATGCGGGGATTTCATGTTGTTACTTTTTAAAATTCAGTCTCTTATTTTGTTTTCTTCTAGTTTTGGAACCTATTTAGTGTTAGGAGTAATGTTCTTACGGTTTCACTTTCATTGCTCAGATAACCATTTTTGTTTTGCCGTTAAGCATTCAGCATTTCCTTTGCCTCTGCAGCCTTTCAGCTCGGGTCGCCAGGTCGTAGTGGAACGTCATGGCAGGGAGCAGGGAATGAGGAAGGAGTGGCACGGTGGCTCAAGCTCCCAGGGTGGAGGCTTTTCCGATAATCGCAGGATGGGGGACTCTCGGAGCGCCATGATGCCACCTTCCAGGTATGCTGCATAATGGAGACGTGTTGAGAAAGCAGAGTAGCGTGCCGCCCTTCCATCCTTCTCAGACATGACCTTTTTGTCTTTCTGCAGTCACTCTTCGTCTGGAATGAGCCGAATTGTACAGATCACCAACAACTCCATTCCCAGTGGCGGCACTGTGGGCGGATTCAAAACCTTCAAAGGAACGCCGCGGCAGTTCTAACCACAGCCACAAATCTGCAACATGAAAGCTCCTGAAGATCTGAAGACTTTTCTGAACTTTATTTTTAGAATATCAACTTTTTGTTTCTTTTTTTTTTTTCTTTTATTTTTTTGGCGGCACGTTTGTGCACAAAAGGTTGATGACACTATTTTATTTTGTATAGACAAGTGTACCTCCAGACAAGTGTAGGGTTTTTTCCTGACAGTTTTGCTGTTACCATTACACAACCCTGTGCACATGTTTTAATAATATTTAGAAACCTTATTGTACAGCACAGTGTTTGTAACAAGTTTTCAAGTGATGTTAAGACTTCTCTTATTGAGTGTTCTCTGTACATTTTCAGTAGCCTAGCGTCACACTCAATTTTCCTGTGTAATATGTCTTTAGCGTATTATAGAACCCGACATGAAGGGATAATTGACTCATTTGGAAGTTTCACAGATGACGAAAAGAAATATCTTTTTTGAAAAGTCATTTTTGCTGTGGATGTCCTGTTTTTGTAAAAGAAATGATTATAAAACTGTAAAAGAGCCCGCATTGTAGCTAAATACCTCTCATAGGCCACGAATTGAATCACAGACAGGTCTGTGTGTCTAAACTCAAATTTGACTTTCAGGTCAAACTGCAGGGCATTCAGTGGAGGTAAGCGAGCCTTTTAAGGGCACACATGGTTGTTGTTTGCTCATTGTCATTTCAGTGAAATTTGAACATTTGCTTTTCAGCTTGCTTGTGTGTTTTTTTTTTTGTTTTTTTTTTTTGTTTTTTTTGTGAAACTTGTATTGTAGAGACATCTTGTGTCCATCATTGAACTCTCTCATGCTAGCAGAAAGTATCAGTGTAGAAGGTTTGAATCTGAAAAAGTGCACAAGATGGGTAAAACCTGCCCTTTGAAGGGACATCATACTGTATGTAGACTGTAAGCTTCGTGTCAACTGTGACTAAACCAACATCTTGCCTCCGTCTCGTCTTGTTCGGTCATTTCAGTACTATTTAATTTTTTTAAATTTTGTTTAAAAGCTTGTTAAGCTTCGTAATTCTTTCAGAGCTGGACCAGTACTACACACCTTGGACTGCCATGCATGTAGTTGGATTTAAATCACACATCTGTAACTGGTTGAAGCTGATTCAACTACCGGGGGGTGAGAAGCCGAATGTCTTTGTGCTGAGTCTTCGGTCATGCCAGGATCAGTTTGTGGGCCTCAGCGTGAAACTGTTGATGGGGTGGGAGTGAAGATCTCTCAGCTAGTGCGTGTACGTGCTTTGCCAGTTGGAAGTTTTAAATGAAATACAAGTTTCTGTGTGTGTGTGTAAATGTTTTTTTTTTCCCCCCATACTTTTCTTAAGAACAGTGATTATGAAGTGGTAGACATCTTGAGAGTTGACTGGTTTATAAAGCAACACATAAAACACTTTACTAAAATCCAAATATTGCTTACAAAAATATGTTTTAGAGAACTTTCATAACAAGAACCTTAGACCTACTTAGTAAACTAAACTTAGTTTAGTCATTTATTCAATTTTATTTCACAACAACAGTTGCCTCAAGGTGCTTTATATTGTAAGGTAGACCCTACGATAATACATACAGAGAAGAAACCCAACAATCATATGACCCCCTATGAGCAAGCACTTTGGCAACAGTGGGAAGGAAAAACTCCCTTTTAACAGGAAGAAACCTCTGTCAGAACCAGGCTCAGGGAGGGGCGGCCATCTGCTGCGACCGGCTGGGATGAGAGAAGGAAGACAGGATAGAAGGTTTGAGGGGTCATCTGTTCAGAGGTGCCCTTCTGCAACTTGGTTTTAATTAGTGGTTATTTCCTTTGCCTTCCTGTCAGCTCAGAGCAGTCTGGCCTTTTCTTGTCTTACCTCTGACACAAAAGGGCATTTTCGATGGTTTTCCAGCAGTTTCTGAAATACTTGAGAGCCGTTTAACACCAACAAGCACAACATGTTCAGCCTCATACATCCTTTTCTTCCCCGTTCTGATGCTCGGTCTGAACTGCAGCAGGTCATTTTGACCATGTCTCAATGATTAATTCTAATGAGTTGCCATACCATTTGCTAATTAGGTGTTTGCAAAAAGAAAACAGTTGAACAGGTGTACCTAATGATGTGGTTGGTGAGTGTATATTCCACTGCAGTGTCTAACCAACTGGTACAGTGTCCTTGGACTTTTATGCTTCATACATCTTGTTCATATGTAAGGCAAACAGATATAACCAGTGCCTCCCACTCGGAAAAAAAAAGTAACCAAGTCAGTCTTACAAAATATTTTTTATAGTGTGAAGGTGAAGTTTTGCACGGCTTCAATACATACGATAATGAAACTGTATTAACTGATTCTCAGGTTGTCAGGTTGGAACTTTTTTCCAGAATGGATTAATTTTACGTGGAATGATCCAACTCACAGATACAGTTTTCACACATACAGGCTATGAAATGGTGCAATTTCCACTTTTCTCAAAAGACATTAAGACTTCAAAGCAATGACAACAAACCAACAACTTATCTTAGTTTTTTATTTTCCTGGTAACTTCTAATCAGGTTGAATGTCCCTCGTCTATAAGGCATTTTGTTATATATATATATTTATATATATATCACCATATACAATATGTGACTGTAATGTGAAAGGCTACATACATTATTTGGTCATTTATGTAAATACATGAACATTGAAATCAACACAAATGAGTAACCTCCCATATTCACAAACGCTTTCCTTTTTGTTTGCTTCTTTTATGCGAAATATAAACAAAACAGGCCGGACAGTGGAAAATAAATTTCTTGGGGTAATTGATGATGAACTTTTACTCCTCTTTATTTTTCAGCCCACACTGTACATGCATCACAGGGTAAAATCTGAGAGTTTTGATATTGCAATAAAGAAAAGATCTCCCTTAGATTGTTCAGCACTCTGGATCTATCTGTCACACAACAACAATGAACATTTCCCTCTGCTACATTAATGAAAACACTCAAGCCTGATGAAGCATTTTCACATTTTTATGTACTTTTGACCTGTTGCCTTTCTTTGAGAACATTGTGTAATGAAATGATGGATTTGATGGGAAATAAAATAGTTAGGGGTTAACCTACACCATTTTTTTGCTGATGGAATTGAATACCAGTTTTTTTTTCCTGCATTTTTTGTCATCATCTGTCAGCACCGAGCTGATAACTCCAGCCTTTGCATTGGTATACTTGAGTCTGGTGTAGATGTACCGCTAACTACGAATATATCAAATTGCTTCTATTGAAGCGGTGCTACGACCCGATTTCCAAAAACATCTGGATGCTGTGAAAAATATAAATTAAACCACAAGAAGACTTTAAATTAATTTAAACCATACATTTAATTATAAATACTACAAAAGTGCCATATGTTATAACTAAGCAATTTTTTAATGCTCGTTTTGAATTTGAAGCCAGCAACACAATAAAAAAACCCCAAAACAAACAAACAAACAAATTAAAAAAAAAACAAAAAAAACGGACATAGGCATCTAAGTGCTCTTATTTGATAACTGCACAGAATTTAGTGATTTCATCATTTTCATCATCAATGCAAGAGTCAAAGAATCTGGACAAAATCTCTCAATACAAATGACAAGGCTGGAAAAACCTGAACTGAATGACTGAGGATCATCAGGCTCTGGGGCTGCACTGCCTTAAAAACAGGGATAATCATGGTGGGAGTCACTGCGTGGACTCTGAAACAGTTCTGCAAGCAGTGATGCTGCATCCACAAAGTTAAAAACCTCATGTATAGCAAGATCCATAAACACCACGGTCTCTTTTATAGTGGACTGAGCCGAAGCAGACAACTGTGCGTGGGTTTGAAGGGTCTTTCTGGAAACCACTGGCACCACGTCCTCCAGAGTAAAGAGGACAGGGGCTGTTCAGATTGTTTAAAAAGCAGCACCTGTGATTGTACGGAGGCCCATGAGCGACACGAGCAATTTGTTAATCTGCAAAGGTCCCATTAATGCTGAACAATATCTACAGATTTTGGACCAACGTGTTTCACACGGAAGAAAGGGATGTGACAACAGCATGGCTCTGTTTTTGGAGAGTCTGGCTACTAAACTTGAATGCTTACACAGTCAAAATCTCTGAAAAAGGGGAAAACATGGCATTGTGAAAAGAAAATGCAACTTTAGATTTATTTGAAATGCGTTCCTGGCATCATAATCAAAATGTGCATATGTAAGAAAAAGTAAAAAAACTAAACAAAAAAACCAAAAACAAAACGCCAGTTTTAATATTTGATATGTTGCCTTTTTTTCTATTTAAGTTCAAAACAGGGTTTCCCTATGGAAGCTTGTTGCTGCCACTGAAAAAATCCCAAACAATTTTAGCTAAGCCAAGTCAAAATGTCAAGTTATTTTCTCAATTTGGAGTTACTAACTCAAATTTCTGAAAAAGTAAGTCAACATTGTGAGATTATTATGAACTACGAATGGCTCCTTTTTCAGTGGCTGAAACAAGCTTCCACATCTCTCTGCAAAGTTGTATGTTTTGTCTATTTTTACATTTTGCACAACATCCCGCCATTTCTGGAAACAGAGTGGCTCCTTGTAACAGATGTATCCTTTCATTTTAAGCCAAAACATTTAATCAGCCCTTTCATACTTTTACAAATTCGTATTATTTAGCTGGCTTAAGAGCAACTGCTACTAAGAATTATTATTTTGGCCATTATTTACTTTTTTTTAAGGTACCCAAAAAACAATAGCACTCTTGCACAATTTGTGTTCTGTAGAAAATGAGGTATGTTTTTTTTCTGTTAGTGCATATCAATGTAACAGTGCAAAACCAATTACAACAACTATATGTTCAACGATCACCTTGTCAAAATACTAATTTTACAGCATTTACCCCACCATCACTTTTACAAGGCATACAAGAGACCACTTTGAGACATTAAACACACAATATCCTTCTGATCAATTCATCATAGGAAGTAGGGTGAACCAAACACATTACAACAAAAATACTTAATTCAGGTGATAATGACTAGGAGTAGCAAGCGGATGCACAGTAGTAAATCTGAAACAATAGTAAAAATCTGTGGCATTTGTGTAACTTCACGCTGTATTCAAACAAAGACCCACATAAAAATCTTCAAAATCAAATCCAACTTTAAAATAAAGTTTAATTTTAAAAAAAATCTCCTCTGGAATGTTTAATCAGCATGTTGTTGATGGGCCAAGACAGGGTGAAAAAATAATCAGAAAGCCTCCCCTCTATCTTCTTAAAGAGAAATTTTGATTACTTTATTACTTTAAGGTGCATGAAAAAAAATCTGCAAAGAAGTAACAATGTTCCTTAACCCTGTTCAGCGAGGTCTTTATTTTTCACCAGGACCAGCCAGTCCATTGCTTTTTACTGTTATTTGAATGAATTCAGCTGTCAATAACAGTGTTAGTGTCAAGTCCTTCAAAGTGTCCTAATAGTTGTGTGGTGTGTACATATAACGGATACTTAAAAGTTGCGACTGAGATAGTGACTTCAGGCCGAGGAACCGTGTCATTAGAAACATTAACATCTGAAAAGACACCCGAGGATATGTCCCGTCAAAAAAGGCCTGAGAGAAGTTCTGACGTTTACGTGAAAAATGTATGGATTGTCTCATTCTGGTAATACGCCTGTTTCCTTTTGTCCTATAAAATATGCTGAAATGCTGTAAGGCGTTATATATTCAACTGTAGTTATGTATATATATACAAAACATAGCCTTGCTAGGGCCAAAGAAACAAATGGGGAGCACAAACTCCAGCCATCACACAAAGCTTGTAAGAAAGGTTTCCTGCTGTCCTGACAGAGAATTTTCTTCTCACTCAACAAAATAATGGAGACCACTTTACAAGCACTGCAAAGACCTCCTACGCCAACTGTCTCCCTCAGTCTCTAGCAGAAGGCTCGAGTCAAGGCATCCGACTGGAATGTGTAGATAGAAAAAGTTTGTCAGGAGGCAGTCCCATGGTACAATAATGGCACAAACCACTAGCTAAATTATAAGAATGGGTTAGATAAATATGTACATGTGTCTGCATGCGCAGCGCCACAGTGAAAATGCACAAAAGTTTAAAGGTGATACCACAGAATTTCCTACAACCTCCAAAGACAGCTCTGTCTGCGAACTTTGGGCCTGAATGTTCATAAATATCTGATAAAATTAGTCTTCTCTGAAGCTGACTAAGAAGGGGCAAGGAAAGAGAGAACTGTGGAGAACAATGGGAGAAAAATTCAAAGTTGAAAATTATCTTGTAGAGCCTGATATATACAGATACCGATACTTGATTTAAAAATCTGATTTTACAATAAATTAGCCACAAAACAAACAGATTTCCGTAACATTTGTTATTTTTTAGTTTTATTTTCATTTTCTCGTTTATGGTCGACTCTGCTCGGATTACCCGGCAGTCGTTTGGGTTCCAAACACTTGTGTTGCCAACAAGGAAGTTGCAAAGTGCCCTCTGGTGGACAAAGTATGCAACATCAACACTCATAAAATAGCTGAAGGGTGTTTCTCCCATCTCTTCTTTACTTTATTAGTTTACATTTATTGGCCACTATGAATGCCGATATTGACAAACTGTCAAATGGCTAATATCATAGGATACTATCGGCCTGCTGTTAAATCTGACTCTATCATATTGTATATCCTGATCCTGATGTCACATATTTGGAGTCCAATTTATATGTTAATAAAAGGACCTCTGTTTTAAGAGAAATGTGTGTGGATTACTGAATTCAAAGCCCTGATTCTAACAGTGTCTCCACACACACAGACACACACACTCTACAGGAAGCTGTCAGAACAGACTTTCAAACTACCACTCACTCTAAACTAGGTGCCATCGAACGCAAACCTAATCTGCCGAAAGATAGGCACGTCTCAGAAACATCAGATTCAGACATAACGTGCCAACGTAATCTTCAGCTTTCCTGTCCCAAATCTTGTTTTTGTGAAACAGAGTCACAACATAAAAGACACAAAATGTCCCAAATGTGTAGCTTAACTGATGCAGCATACAAAAAAAAAAAAAAAGCAACCTTGTTACATCAGTGATGCTCAGTAAATGACACGTTTATACCAAAGTAGCACACGTTTACTGCACATACACATTCAGACAGAGCAGAATACAACACTGCCATACTCTGGTAAGGCAAATCTGAACAGGGCAAGCTGTGATGAGTGTTGTAACATAGCTACAGTATCTGGCAGCTAATTAACCCTTAGTATGTAGTGTTTCAGAGGGGACACGAGTGGCGTTACATCGACTTCCCTTTAGACTGAGAGAAAGGGAACAAAAAAACATAGATCCTCTCCCAAAGCTACAGGTTACTCAGATAAATAAAATGTGAATCTTGGCATCAATGGCTATATATGTTTTGTAAATATTGACGCATACAAAAAAGCTTATAAGCTGCACTACTGAAAAAAATGACCAAAGTGAATTAAGTTTTGTAAAAGAAGAGAATGTGAGAGGGTGAGATTTTGTTTCTTCGGATTATGTCGTTGGCTATAAAATACACCATCCCCAGATAAACTTGACCCCCCTCCCTCCCTTCACAAATATAGTGTGCAACTTGTAACAAAGTTTGGCGGACTCTAAGAAAGAGAAGGGGTAGTAGTTGTTGTTTTGCCCCTTCCTCTGATGTCCAGGTTCCACTGAGGATAGAGGATAGCAGGCACCAGTGGTTTGGGAACAGCAAATCCTCTGTTAGTCACATCTCTCCTCAATCGTCTCCTTCCCTTGTTT